CCAGATCTACCCGACGACGAGGACGACCTCGACGACGGCGTCGTTGAAGAGGGTGCTCAACAGCCCGCACCCGGCGGTGCACTCACCTTGCGAGGTCTCCTTATGAAAGTCAAGAGAACCGTACGATTTTTCAAGCAAAGTGAGGTTGCTGCCAGTCGGCTCAAAGAACTTCAAAAGGTGGAGCAGGGAAAGAAAGATGGACAGTGCTTGCGCCTTATTCAAGAAGTCAAGACAAGGTGGAATTCTTGCTTCGAAATGCTTCAGAGGTAAGCCATTTTTATTTATTGTAATTTTTTTTTTAACTGGAACTATCTAAATAAACAGTAAACAAATAATTTTGCTCTCTTGCAGATATCTCCTTTTGGCACCTCTCGTTGTTCGAGTCGTCCTTGACTTACAACGCCAAAGGATCAGCAGGGCTCCGGCCCCGGACATAATCAGCCCTGCCGAGGAAGAGATCCTGAAGGAGGTGAAGGACCTACTGGCCCCGCTGCACCGGGCTACACAGGAAGTGAGCAGTGAGAAGCTGGTGACTCTGAGCAAGTGCATCCCCGTCATCAACAGTCTCCGCACTGTACGTACATTTTAATGTAACTCCTTCCAGTTCCGCGTGTTTTGCGACACCGAATTAACTTTTTATATTTTACAGGAAATTGAGAAGTACTCGGCCACAAAAACAATTTCTAAACAAGTGAAGGAAATTCTTAAGGCACTCCTTAAAGATGCTTTTGATTCAATTGAACTTGTGCCGATGTACGCTGCGGCAACCCTGCTGGGTCCGCGGTTCAAGAAGTTTGGTTTCCGTCAGGACCTAACAACCCCTCGCCGCGTCGGCAATGCAATATCCTTTGTCGGTATGTCCAGCAGTTTTGCCATATCTTATTCACCCGCTGGGTAAAGTCGGAATAGTTTTATTATATTTCAATGGGAATTCCCCACCATTAACTTATTTTCCTTCCTTATTCCTCTTGTAGGCGATCTGGTAAAGAAGAAGATGAGAGCAGCTGAAGTGCAAGCCCAGGCGGAGCAAGCATTGGAAAGGGAAGAGAACCCAGCAGCCCAAGAGCCGACTGAGCCTGATGACTTTTGGTCCTCGCTCGACCAGCAAGTGGAGCAGCAATCCTCTCTTCACTCTGGGCAGGACGTCGCGGGGGGAATACCCGTGCAATTGCGCGCCTACCTGGATAGCCCACCTGTGAAGAGGAAGGATTACCCCAACCCTCTCATCGCTTGGGAACCTTTAAAAGGGGAACTCAGACACGTATATGCGGTGGCTCAGGAGTACCTGTCCATACTGGCGAACTCTGTACCCTCTGAGCGCCTCTTTTCTCATGCAGGCATGATCTCCAACCAAAAAAGGACCCGGCTTGCTGCAAAGCGTTTGGAGATGCTAGTTTTTCTCAGGTCTTGTGACGATGATCTCTGGTTTGATTGAATAGATTTTCTAATTCTTGACTCTAGATAATTTCCTAGTCCTATAGAACAATTTTTAGTTAAGGTATGCACTGATAACTTTTAAGAGCTACTAGTCCTCTGTTATTACTCTGGTACCTTACTCACTTTATAACAACGTTTACATTGTTTATGGAACATTTATTTAATTATTAAACATTTATGTAATGAAGACACAAGGTTTTATTTTGAATGTACCCCAGGAATATCACCACGTTCACCTTAAAACAGTAGTTGTATTGCTATTTTGTAAAATTTTGATACTCTGGCGTAATTTTACTGATTTTCTAGTTTTTTTCGATTTTTTCCGAATAATTCGAACATATTCGAATGCTGGCGCCGAATATCGAATATTCGAGAATCTGTTTCGAATTGACATCCCTAATTGGGACTGGTCTCACCGGTCTATAAACCCTGGCCTAGTGCCAGGAGATCGAGTCTGCTACCTCATCCAACTCTTGACCTACCGCACGCACTCTCGCCCACCTCTCTCTCTCTCTCGCCAACGCGTGTCCTTTGAGCTTTGAGCGTGACGGTGTGGCAAGAGTTAGCTTTGAAAGAAAGTTAAGAATTAATAAACATGGGCCGAAAAAACAATGGCTATAAAATTCCCGCCCGGCGCCAGCGGCGCCAGCGCCGGCGGCAACAGTAAGTCAAACTACATTATTTCATTCAAAATTTTAAAGAACTGATAGTGACAGCCATGGGGACAGCAGGCAAAGATTGAACGGCGGCTTTATGGAGTTAACCAATGAATCGAACAATGCCAATTATGTCACATAAACATTTGCTGTTTTACAAAAATGACGTGTTTTTTTTAAATATAAGAGGCAAATAACGCATAATACTGGAGGTGCCCCCACACTGAGCGGGGGCCGTAGCCATGTGCCATGCCATGGCCATAGCTCTCGGTTTTAGGAATGACGGTCTGAGGATTATGGCTCGTGGCCCATGGCTGGTCACTTTGTTAGAAAGATCTTCTGTGCAAAGCAGCAACACACTGTGTTAGCAGTTTGTAAGATTTTTCTACCGGGTATGGCAGACCAGAATCTGCGTTGTCACTCCTCTCTTTCATTTCCAAAAGCTTATTCGTACTACAACAAAGTGTAGCAGATGTATTATGACCAAGTTTTCTGGTCCTAATAGACCATTCCACCGAGAGAGGAAGAAAAATCAAAGAAATCAAAAAGAACTAGAAACACATATACTTTAAAGAGCTCTTTCCGTCAATCTCTTCTCACTCTTTGGATAGTCAAAATTGAATACTGTTTCCGGTAGTTTTTGATTGCTAGTGTTCTTCTGCTTCCGGTGGAAATGGTCTATTTCAGTAGCAGTCTACCCCGATAATGACATACCTCTTTTATCTTCAGACCCCGCTTTTGGAGACTAGTTGAGGTGTGTGCAGTCTTCGCCCTCTGGGGTATTGCAGCGAGAGTGTTCCCCGAGCTGGCGGAAGAGATAAGTCAAGCTGCTCGCGGCTTCCTAAATGGTACGTAAAGAATGATTAGCTGTTGGATAGTTAATGCCCAGTCTTTAAGAATCAATCATATAATTCCCCAGATAACAGTAAAAATGTAACAGTAAATTTTGAACATATCCTAGAATAATTTATCTGAACAAATTAACTGTAAGCTAACTTATTAGCCTATTAATCATCAGATTTTAAAAGTAAAAGTATACAAATACTTTCATTTTCACTTTAAGATCAAGTTGATGTACGATTAATTGATTGCTGAGACTGGGATGTCGCATTTAACTACAAATGAGAACTCTAATACCTTTCTTTTTCTCTTTGCAGCAATCCTCTTAGATCTGTGATTAAGCAATAAATGTTAGCTAAGCTAGTTACGACGTTTCTTGATCATTTCCTTGAATAACTATTTCCTGAATTTCCTCTCATGATACGTAGTCCAGTCCTCATCCAATCGCCAATCAAAATCTTGAGAACCTGTATGAGGCGACTTCACTTGTGGAGCGACAACCATTTACCCAGACGGGATTCTGTAGAGGCATCTCTTAATTAGAACCTAAAATTGAAATTCCAACATAACATGTAAAATATCTTACCTGCTGATGCTTTAGAGGTTAAAGTCTGGTGATGGATTAGAGATTTTAGATGACAAATAGACACTGCAGAGTTAATTTAACTGAAAGAGTAGCGATGTCTCCGCTTATTCACAAGCGTATTAAGTTAGTGCACACTTTTTATAAAAGTTAAAAATACTTTCTTGACAATTCAAGTTTGTCTCGTTGTTGCACTGCGTTTGCATTGTGAACGGTTGGGCGGAGCGGGCGGAGCGCGGAGCAGGTGCACGGTGCACTGACTGGAGCCTGAGCCTGGAGCACTGAGCACTGGAGCCGATACTGCCCCGAGAAGCTTGTCCAGAGTCCAGCGCCTTGACTTGGAGTGGAGTTGTTGTTGTTTTGATGTTATGGTACGGTTATGTTTTCTGTATTTCGCGGTTTCCGAAATGCAATTATTAGAAGTGGCATCGGAAAAATGGTGATTGAGGAGGTTTAGTGTGTGCTCATTACTACCAAAAACCTCAAAAATGTGTAATTTGCGTGGCTATCGCAGGTATCCGAATTGTCTAACCTGTGTTTGTGGCCGAACCATAGGTTGCCCTCGCCCTCGCCTTTGGCTGAACAATATTCTTGTGTCAGCTCGATCAGAGTCTTTGAGTGTGTCCGAATTCTCGAATGTGTCGACACATTTCAATTTGTGAATTAAAAATCTCTTTTATCTGATACAACTATTGCCTGTCCATATTTTTCTGACATCATAACCGGTCAGATATGTAGTTTATATATTTAAAATTGATGTTAAATTCTTTGATGTCCGCTCTCTGGTCCTTGTTCAGTTGGTTCCAGTTGTGAAATATATCTGTTCCGCAGCTTGCGTGCTGCTTTAGTCATGAAGTCACTGAAGATTCGCAACAGTGTTTCAAAGAAAAACCTTTATTTTTCTAATTTACTGTTGATCAATTGCAGCACAGGAATGGTCAGAACTCACGTAAGTAATCAATAGTTGTTTATATGGTCTATTAGTGGAATCTGAGCCGGCAAACTATTTAGTAAAACATGAACCACATCTTTGAAGATAACTGTCAGCATGTTTTATGACAATCAGCTTAGGAGCCAGATTGTTCAAGGCTTTTTAAAAAATCTCTGAGAAGTATACTTGGTATTTTGATAGAAAAGCGTACTTAGCATGTGTTCACTTTACAAGTGTATAGCTGCTATATATTCTCATCGAGAGAGTACACTTGTAGCAGAAATTGGAAAAGATTTACATGTCCTTGCTCTATAATTTCCCAAATATAAGATAAGTTTCTGTACATTTCTTAATTCTAAGATGTACTCAGTGGCCATTTTTTTTTGTGAATTTGTTTCTTTAGCTTGCTGAAAGCAATTAAATTTTTTAACTACTGCTAGCTAAAGTGCTAGCCTGTCAATTATGAAAGAACGCTTCAATCGCCTCTGATAATTAGCAAGATTTTCACAGTAGGCTTGTGGCGGTCTCTCTGAAACAAGTCTTTCAGTTTTATAAGCATTATGTGAATGTAAATTTAACCAGTTAATCACAAATTACTTACCTTAATGTACTTAATGGTTCCACTTCTATATTTTTGGGACAAGAGATTGAGTCACCAGTAAGCAACTTTTATACCTGCAATATTCATGAGCATGTTAGCATTCTTAGTCTCTTTGCATTGTAATGATTTCCTGC